TTTTCTTGACAATACAGGAGAGCACTGGCTACTGGTGGTCAGCATGTATCAGACAGTTTAAATCTAGTAGTAAGTAGTAGTAGTAGTAGTAGTAATTTTCTTTTCAGAAAACCCATCTTCTGACCTATTAAAAGCAGAGGTTGGAAGTGTTTGTTGCATTTACAATTAACAATTATCAGCCATAACAACAAAAGTAAATGTGGTCATTAAGAACAGGCTGTTTGAAGCTGTGACCATCTGCAGCATTTATGAAATAGATTTAATGCCCAGAGATGTCTGTGGGGGGTGTGGACATATGGTAAACCCACTTTAAAGTGTCACAGATTATTCTACCAACAGTTGAGTTTCAAACAAAAAACGCAGCCAGAAATGTGAGTGAGCGGCTGAAACACAATTATATATAATTATATTTATATATAATATATATTGGATGTAAATGGAAAACATTCAGCTTTACAATTTTTTTTAAACATACGTACAAATATGTGTTAAACACAACATGTATATATTGTATATGTCAGAGCTGCTGCATTAGGACCCTGGAGAGCTGAAGACAGGAGGAGGAGGAGGAGGAGGAGAAGGAGGAGGATGGAAAGAAGGAGAAAAACAAAGTCTGGAGGCAAAGAAAGACAAACGATGGCAGAAGAGATAAAACAGAGAGACAGACGGACGCTGAGGAGACATTAAGAAAGAGACTGCAGACAGATGAAGTGACAGCTTCAGATCCACAGACAGATAGAGAGAAAAAAGACAGACAGACAGGAGGAGGAGGAGGAGCTGAGGAAGAGGAGGAGGGGTCAGGGAGGAGGGAGATAAAAACAGAGTGAGCGGAGCAGAGACGTCCAAACTGAAGAGGATCAGAGGAGAAACACGCCGTCACTTGACGGAGGAGGAAGGACTGCGCTGAAAGACAAGGGAGGAAGAGGTGGAAAAAGAGGAGGAGGAGGAGGCACCAACCACCCACAGAGAGAAACTTTCCTCACACAGACTCACTGTTTAAAACCTCTTGTTGTATTTACGTCTGGAGGTTCAGCAGCTGAACTTCGACCCGCTGACGAAGAAAACCTGAAAGAAAAGACGGAAAAAGACGAGAAGAGAAACTGCAGAAGAAGAGACAAACGTTAAGATGAAGAGCTCAGAGTGTTAAAGTTTCCTTCAACAGCAAACATAACTAAAGTTCAGCTGACCTAAGAGGAGCACATTTAAAGAGGTGCATTATGGGAAGTCCATAAAGACACAGACCTGAACGCCTTCATCCACCACCCAGCATGCTGGTCAGGTTCTCCCAGGGACGGAGCTCTCTGGGTGGGGCAGGAGGGCTGCTGCTGCTCCCTCTCCTCCTGGGACTGATGATGACGATGATGATGATGATGGAGGCAGCGAGCGTTGAAGAACTGGAGAGCGAGGAGAGTCAGGAGATCCTGGAGGAGGAGGAGGCCGCCAGCACTGAGATCCTGGTAAGAGTCACATACACAAGAAGTCAATGAAATGCTCAACCTGTTGGATAGATTATCAACAATTTATTGATCTATTGGGCGGTAACGTGAAATGTATTCATATGTTGGAAGCAGGCTGTTTCTCCTCCGACCAATCACATCAGACCTCCACACAGAACGCAAGGCGAGACGTCATCAAACTGCGAGAGAGATTTTACTCTTGCCTTCCATTTTTAATGAATCATAAAAAACAAACTCTTATTAAAACTAACTAGCAAACTTTCATTGCAAAAATACATTCTAAAAACATCGCAACATGCACCGCAGACTTAGAAAAGCTGCTGTCAAATCTAAAAATGTAGGATACAACAATCGGGGTTCCCACTCTTTCAGGAATCACTTTTAGGACAGCAGTTGCTCACTAACAGTCTCAGGTTGGCCGTTTTCACCACAGCCTTTTTTTCCGCTGCGCTCTCGGTGGAACTGACTACAGTTTTCCTCTAATTGTAACAAATAAACTCGACACAGAAGTTCACTGTGAATCTGTTCCATTCCTGGTGTGACACCGCAGTTCATCCACCAACAGTTTCACTCTGAATACACACCCAGGTTTACGCAGGCCATCTGAGTTATTCAAATTCAAATGTTCCAGGACAACACACATTATTTCCAGGTTATTTGGTCATTTTAATCCATTTCCAGGTGTTTCCACGTCTGGAAAACTAGTCCCTAAATTTCCAAACACAACAATTAATCGATTAGTTGATTGACAAAAAATTAATCTTCAAACTGTGTTGGTAATGGATTTGATTCCTGAGAGATGATTCAATGAATAAATATGAACTTGATGACATTCAGTGAGGAGGAAATACAAACCGCAGAAACACAGAAAGTTCTCAGATGTCAGAGTTTTCAGACCATATTTGATATCCGAGTTAATATCTAGATTGTTTAGACTGTTTACATGTATGTTAGATTCTGACTATTTTCATATTCCTAAGAGCAGTTGGAGGACTGCACTGCAGGAACATTGTAGATCTCAGAACGTGGTTTTGGGGAACATTTCTGGTTCCTACTTCAGAGTAGCTCTAGAGGGACTCTGAGTGAGTGATTACTTGCCATAGAACTACAATAACGTTAATGTTAAAGTGAGCGTCTCCTCAATAACGTGACGTTTCCTCTCAGATCTCCTTCTTTCAACCACAGTTGAAATCCACACATCTGTTTCCATCGACACACACACAGCTCCAACAATGTCGGCCTCCATCTCGTTGTGTTGTTGTCATAGAAACAGCTGAAAGCATGTTGCTGCACGTTGGTGAACTCAAACAGAAACAAAACAGTTGAAGGTAAAGTTCTCCAGGGATAAAGTGTCTGGTCCACAAACACCTTATATTTGCTAGTATTATTATTATTGTTGTTGTTGTTCATTTGCTGTGTCCATGGAAACGACAGTGAACACAGACATAACGGTTTCCTCACGCAGAGAAGTTTATTCTTCTGACACTATGAAGGCAATCTGAGTGAACTTTTGCCAGGATATTTGGTCCTTTTAATCAGATTTCCAGGTTTTAGAGGACGTGTAGGAACCCTGTTTATTGTCCATTCAGAGCACACACTGACCTGTTGTGTTTGTGTCCTTCAGGAGCCGCTGTCCTCCGATCTGTCCAGAGTGTCTCCTCTCAGCTCCTGGCTGATCTTCAGAAGAAACTCCAACAAGGGGGACAACCGCAGAACCAAAGGGTCTAGGAGGACCTCCAAGGTCAGACAGATCCTAACTGCACAGCAGGATGAAAAGTCCAATCTCAAATATAAACATATATATATATATATGAAGTACTGCTTCTTGTCAATAGCTATACATATTTGATTAAATCAGTTCATTAACAATACAGTGATAGAAATAATGGATACCAGTTGGATTTAAACAGGCACAAAGTAAATATACAAACAAGTAAATTAAGAATAAATACAAATATAATAAAATAAATATAAAGTGACTTTTTCAGTTTTAACAGCTTTGAAGTTATTGTCTTTTTATATAGATCCATTACTTTCTTGAAAACATGAGCCTCCATGTTAGCAGATGGAACAAATTACAAACTCAAACCCAAAGGTAGTTTCTGTCATTTAAGCTTGTTTTTATCACGCTGATGTTTGTTCAAGTGTTCATTTTCATCTCCATCAAAGTGGTGGAAACACAGGCTGGTTCACTAGATAACAACAAGGTTAAAAAATCTTTTGTGTTTTACATGTAGTTGATTCAATCAATAATCAATAATCAGAAGCAGCTCTGCTCGCAGTGGTGGTGAAGACAACAACTCCCATGATTGCACGCTGCTTCACCACCTCATCACACTTTGTTTTGTAAAGCTCATAAATAACATTTAAAAGTCACAATACATTTTATTGTGTGTCTTTGCAGCATGGTCTTCCAGGCCCTCCAGGCCCTCCAGGACCCCAGGGGCCTCCAGGCCCCCCCGCCCCCCTGCTGCCCCAACAACAGGAGCTCATCCAGGAGCTGCAGCTCAAACTGAGAGGTGAGACACAGAGAGACTGAGGGCTTCAGTTCAAACTGACGAAGCTACGCTAAGAGTTTCCCCCTGCTTCCAGTCTTTGTGCTAAGCTAGGCTAACCACATCCTGGCTCTAAGAACAAGAGGGTTTACATTTATGTTTTCAGTAAAGAAAATTATGAAATCTTAAGAACGTGTTTAGTTCTGAGTTCTTAGAGTTAATAAATGCAAACATTCCTCCGAACCTGGATCCAGACAGAAGACTGTTCGGCTTTATTTTCACATCATTTCCTTCAATTTTTCACTTTCACTCAGTGATTTCTGTATGTAGGTTATATAAACACAGTGTGTGTGTGTGTGTGTGTGTGTGTGGAGGCAGGCTGTCTGAGTCCCTAATAGGGGTAATTTTGTGGAGTGTGGATGTGACTTGGCTCAGCAGCAGGATTCCTGACATTCCTGCTGACTGATGGTGTGTCTTTGTTACTTTCTGCCTGTTTGTGAGTGAATTTGTTCGTTTGTGCTTGTTTTCCTGCATCAGGTTGCGTCTGTGTGTCTTCATATTCTGCAGTAGTTTGAATGAGTTTACTTTAGTCGATAACTTCAGGCTGAAGACCTACAAACACCCAGAAAGTAAAAATCTGACTGTGATTAAAACATCATCTCATTAATGCCATTGTGTTGACACATTTACATCATAACTGCGTACAGCAACAAACTGCCTGCTGAGGACGACCGATCCATCGTCACATCGTACGTTAGCTACATGGGGATTGATCGAGCAGAGGTTTGTCAACTGACATTAGTCTGTGTCCCAATAAAGTTATTTTAAGGTTAGATAAGGTTAGCTCCACATTCAGCTGATGGAAACATCTGCTTAGAATATTCCTCTAAATTTGTATTTTTAGATCACTGGTTCTCAAACTAAGGAGGCACCTGCGCTCACTCTAGTGGAGGAATCTCTGAAATATTCCTATAATATGGAATAAATTCATTTAAGAACATATAATACTGTCAAAATACGACTACATTTCAAGTGAAAATACTTGCGGTGCGTTCCACCAAATGTGAGGTGAATTTTCGCTCTGCGTTACTAAATATTCTCCCTTTAACCCGTCTCACTGCGACAGTATGAGCGTTACACTGCGTGAGCCATAACAATTAGATTACAGCAAAACAGTCCTACTGACCGCAGTCTGTGTGTCTCCTCCTCTCCCTCCTCCTCCTC